TTTTTTCTAAAAATCTGGAAGCATTCTTTAATGTTATTAAAAAGCTTTTACATTTCTTTTGTACAAAGGTTTTATTGAAGTAAAGACAATAAACATCAGTTAATGTCATTCCTTTGTGTGCATGTGTGTGTGTGTGTGCTCACTCGCTCAGTTGTGTCTGACCCTTTGCAACCCCATGGACTGTAGCCCACCAGGCTTCTCTGTCCACAGGATTTTCCCAGCAAGTACATTGGAGTGGGTTGCCATTTTCTCCTCCAAGGGATCTTCCTGACCCAGGGATTGAACCCACATCTCCTGCATCTTCTGCACTGCAGGCAGATTCCCCACGGGGGAAACACTGTCATTCCTTTATAACACTTTATTGTGGACCACTTCCTTGTGTCATGGTTAAGAGAAGAAAAAGTATAAAAGGTACTCTCCATATATGTCTATATGCACATTTAACTATGAATTTTTTTTTTTGCTTGTAATCCAACTGTTGGGTCATCTCATGCTGAGAACTATCCCAAAACTTAGTGGCTCAAAGTAGCAAGCATTTTCTTATGTGTTCACGATTCTGATGTTTGGGCAGTGTGTGGGGGGATTAGCTTGTCTCTTCCCTGTGGCATCATCAGGGGTGTTACAAATGGCTAGGGACTGCTGGCATGGCTTGATGTGGGTCAGAAGTCTGGAGTTGCTGTTCTCTACGGATTCCTCAGTCATCTTCCATCTGATGTCTTTTTGTTGTTAGTTAGCTCGGGTTTCTTCACACCATGGTGATCTCAGTTTAGCTGGACTTTCCAGAGCACCAAACCGTCAGCTGCCAGGCAAACTCACATAGTTTAGGCTTGATATCGGCACAGTGCCATTTTTGCTGCACTTTGCTGGTTAAAGCAGGTCACAAGGCCCCAGCCCAGATTCCGTGTGGGAGGGGCCTCCAGGAGGGGGTGAATACTGGGAGACAGGGTTCAATGGCGACCCTCCTTGGAGGTTAATTACTACATCACTGTTTGTGAAAGAAATTCTGTAAACATTAAAAGGAATCTATTTCCTACCAAATAACCAAAAGCAAAGGAATGTTGGACTTAATTGTCTTTTACTATACACAAGTCTACACCCAAATCTTTCTACTTTTTCTATGATCTCTCCCAGCTATGCCTCACTCAAATTCTTTTAGCACCGCAGTCTCTTCATTAGGTCCGAGCAAGAGTCTCATCTAAATTAAACATTTCCAGATGTTTGAATTCCAAAAACCAGAAAAATTAAAATATAACTAACTTGATATATTTGCTTAAGCTGCCAACTTTGAAATTTTTCAATTTCCAAGTGAAAACATGAAAAAAACTGTACCATTTCCAGCTACTCTTTCTTCTTAAAGGAAAGTACATTTAGTTTTTTTTTTTTTTAAGTAGTCAAGAGAATTTCAGATTGAAAGACAATCTTAAAGTAGAACTGCTTACTTCACAAACACACCACCAAGGATGGCCACTGGTTCCTGGACCCAGTGCTCGGAAACCTCTAGTCAAGCCACTGTTAACTGAACGTTGTCAAGATCCTTTTTATTCACACCTTGCTCTTTTCATTTCACATTTTCCCCTAGGGACTGAAACCATATTGGGTGGGTGCTAAGTCACTTCAGTCTTGTCTGACTCTTTGTGACCCCATGGACTGTAGCCTGCCAGGCTCCTCTGTCTGTGGGATTCTTCAGGCAAGAATACTGGAGTGGGTTGCCATTTCCTTCTCCAGAGGATCCTCCCAACCCAGGGATTGAACCTGGTTTCTCTTATGTCCCCTGCATTGACAGGTGGGTTCTTTACCGCTAGTGCCACCTGGGAAGCCACCACTTTGCAAGTTTTATAATTTGCCTTTTTATATGGAATCATTTATCTGTGTGATGTAAACAATACAACCGGGAGATAATTCTAGGGCTCCCTGATGGCTCAGGTGGTAAAGAATCAGCCTGTAATGTAGGAAATCCGGGTTTGAGCCCTGGGTTGGGAAGATATCATGGAGAAGAGCATGGCAACCCACTCCAGTAATCTTGCGTGGAGAATCCCATGGAAGAGGAGCCTGGTGGGCTACAGTCCTTAGGGTTGCAAAGAGTTAGAGACTGAAGCAACTTAACACACACACACAAACATATTGCCTAACAGATGGTAAGCACTCAGTATGTGTAATCAGTATTATATTCTAAATCTATTTGTACATGCTATCAATAGTTTGTAATTGCATCTAGGATTTTAATATATACTTTAAGGGTGATCTCAAATGTCCACAATGCTTTGAAGAAACTAATGACAATAGAATTTTAAAGTTAGAAAGGAAATTTAATGTCATATAAGTCTATTCTATTACAGGTGAGGACTTCTCTATTGAAAAACAAAAACACTGATACAGAGTCATTCTATCTTATGGTAAAAGACTACTAGTGTAGGGTTACAATAATCAGATAGCTCTGTCGATCAATAAAATATATAGGCCCCACCTATATTTCTAGTAGTTTAGCCCCACCTATATTTCTAGTAGTTTAGCCAGATGGACTTTCAGTCCCACTTACATTTTATCAGGACCACTCAAGCATTGTCTTAGCTACCAGCATTTTGTCATGTGCCCAAGTGGCAAGCAGCATAATGCTCACAGTTCTGAGAAACAACAAAATTCCTAAGACTACCTAAAAATGGTAATAAAAAAGAACAGGCAGGGTTTAGGAAATTTATTTTAGGGCAGCTGCCAGATTTATTTTAAGCTCTATGCTTAAAAATAAATTTAATTCACATGACTGGCTTAAAATACTGGAGCCAAGAAAAGTCACTGCAAAAGCATTTCGTGAAATACCTGAAATTTGTCTAACTGTCTGTCTTTTTGTGAGGGCTGGCTTTTATCTTCACTGATACTGTGGATTTTATAGTTCAATATTTCTTGCATCTAACACAATACAAACAGAATGCCATGTTTCAAACAATAGTACATTTTCCTAAGCTCTGACTCACAGCAGAAAGTTGGTGTGGTGTTCAGATGCTGTACGGTGCTTTTCATAAAGAAAGACAATTGGTTCGTCTGTAGCCTTTTCCAGTGGAGGATAAAACATCCACATTTTCGATTTTTAGCAATCCTTTATTTGACCTATGAGTCAAACTGAAGATTGATTGGAAATGAATTAAGGTGGATTTCCTGCTGAAAGTACCTTATCAGTAGGTTAGGTAAGGCGTCCCACCCTCTCCCACAACAGTCAATGAAGCAACTGAATTAAGAGGAAAGGCCCATTATTTTCATGTTCTACTTCAGTCTAGTAAAATCACAATTTTAAGTTTCACTGAATGTTTTTAAATCGAAACGGCAGGATTACACATCAAGACGACAACTAGAGTGGGAGGCTTAAAGGTGTAAGGGAACTAGTATGAATAATTTACAAAATACTTATTTTTTTTCCTATGATATTATTTTCCTTTTTTTTTTTTAAACTAAACTGAGCTTGACTTCTACTGACTGTATCTTCCGGAGTCCATAGTTTAAAGCTCCCCTGACACACACCCTGAGTTTAGAGGGTTATGTACTACATTGCTTCGTAGTTTTCCCATGGAAGCAAAGACGAGTTAAAACGACGTGGGATTCACGGAGGGCTGACTCTAAGGCACTACAGAAGACCAACCTCCGCTGGTGCTAAAATGTTGGCTCCCGTCGGCGAAGAGGCACCGTGCCTTTAAAAACAGAAAAAAAAAGTATCTCCCAAATAACAATAACAAGCATCCTTTCTTGCCACAACTCTCCCGACCGCTGCAGCCCAGAGGAAGCAGAGCTGGGGCAACGGCCAGGACGCGACTGAAGGCGGCGAGAGCTCCTCCCCGTGCGGATCCCACGCCGCTTCCCGAGCCCTGCGTGGCTGCTCAGAGCCTGCCCGGCCGAGGGCGGTGCCACCCGCCGCACCCAATCCACCCGTCCCGGCTGCCAGCCTCCCCACCCGCCCGCAAAGCCCCGGGTGCGCCCCGCCTTCCGCCCCGCCCGGCCCAGCCCAGCCCGGCCCAGCCCAGCCCGGCCGGAGAGCCCAGCGCGCGCGCGCGCGCGGGTGCGCGGGCGCGGCGCCGGCCCGGTTCCCCTTCCGAATGTCCGCGCCCCGCATGCGCAGTGCGCGCCGGCGGTCTCCGTTTGTTTGAACAGGAAGGCGGACATATTAGTCCCTCACGGCCCCCTTCGCCCCACCCCCCTCCACCCGAGCATTCGCCGCGCGACTCGCCCTTTCCCCAGCCGGGGCCGCAGCGCCTCTCAGAAGCTTCCCCCAGCTGCAGCCGCCGGGACTCGACTCTCGTCTATCCTCGCCGCCCGCTCGCCAGCCCGTCCTTTCCCGAACCTCCACAGGGCACCGACCTCGCCCTGCCCCACCGGACACCGCGGCAGCAGCCCCAGCAGCGCCGGGACAAAATGGGAGAGTGAGGCTGTCCCGTGGGGGACCAGCTCCTGGCCGAGGCGGATCGGGGCGTCGGGCCGGGCCGAGTGGAGCCGGGGATGCGGGGCTAGACCGCCTCTAGCGACTCAGAGTGGAGCGGGCCCGGCCCGGGGCCCGAGCGGCGGCGGCGGCAGCTGGCACAGCTCCGCGCCCGCCCTTCGCATTCGCCTTTCCTCTTCTCCCTCCCCTGCTGCCCGGAGGAGTCTCCACCCTGCTTTTCTCTCTCTCCCCCCTCTTGCCCGTCTCGGCACCGGGAACCCTCCATGGCGAAGGCGGCCGGGGCCCGCTAGGCTGCAGCCCTCCGCCGGAGCGACGGCGCAGTCGGCCGTCGTGAGGAGCTGCCGGGTGGGATGCGACTTTTTGCGTCCGAGCGGCTGTGGGTCGCCGTTGCCCCCGGCCCGGGGTCCGGAGCGCGGAGATCCCCTCAGTGAGGGGGAGGAGGGGGCACCGGGCGCACCTGGTGACCCTGGGGTTCCGGCTCCCCCGCCCCGCGGCCGCGAACCCACCGCCGGAGGAAGTTGGTTGAAATCGCTTTCCGCTGCTGGTGCTGGTACGAGGGTATTGTCACAGCAGCAGCAACATGTCGACTGGGGACAGTTTTGAGACTCGGTTTGAAAAAATCGACAACCTGCTGCGGGATCCCAAATCGGAAGTGAATTCAGATTGTCTGCTGGTGAGTAGCCCTGTTTTCTGGTGCTTGTCTGAGTCTGTATTTATTTCCTTCCTCTTGCTCTCAGTCTGGTTATCTGCGATAGAAGGTTTCAGGTGTACATCATCTTGGAAAACACCAGAACCTGGCGTTTTCCCTGAGGAATCTTGGAGTCCCTCTAAAATCTCCTGTCCTGGCCCAGTGTATCATTGGACTGGCTCTGAATTCCCTGAACTTTTTAGTTCTGACTCAGTTCATCATCACACAAAAGATATTTATAAAACTCTGTTGCAGGCATCATATAAAAAGTTACCACGTCAAAGTTACTACTACGTACGTAGCTTGTTGAACCGCGAGCTTAGTTATGAACTTTCCGATCGGTTTGACAGTGAGGTTGGAAAAGACTGCTTTCCATTTCCATCTGCTTAGCTCCTTAAGGGTTTAAGTTTTAGACTTGTGACAGTGGAGAATCGATTTTGAGGAAGTGATTTTTGAGCCAAAGTGTCATAGGTGATTTGAATCAGAGGAACTTTTTGCTGGACTGTTAAGTGTAAAAACCCAAGCTAACTAACGTTAGATCATCACAATATTAACATCTTTTACAGCACTGTTGATTACAAAAGTACTGCACAGATATTTTGTCATAACTGCCTTTTTTGGTGTTGTGCTTAACATGATAGATTTTGTAGCATTCTAAGAAAGTTTTTATGATATGAAAGGCCAAAACACTATTTAAAAAATTCCTCAGTTTTTGATAGCATGCACAATTATCGATAGATAATTGGAGTTCTTAAGTTTTGTCAATTTCCCCTAATACTGATAGCTGCAGTCTATTCGTAAGCAAGTTTTCCCTTTATCAAACAACTAGCAGTTATATAATTATTCTGTTTTGGTCCAGACATAACCACTTTATCTTTAAAGTTGCAAGGAATATGTACATGGGTAGTAATTTACAACTTTCTCAGGGAATTAATGTTATATGTACACAGTATTTGGGATTAAAGTTAGGTGAACTAGATGATGCCATTCAGATAAATAATAACCGTTTTAACATCTTATCTTGAATCAGGAAAATGTAAGTTAATGTATGAAATTAATATACGTTTCAGCTACTCAAAATAGCTGTGTACATATATTTTTTAAAATGTATGGGTCTACAAGAGAGTTTCTCTCCAAAGCTTTCTGAATGACTCTAAGCATCCTTGACTGAAATAAGAGTTGTGGGTTGTATGTTTGAAATATCTCACCCACATTATGGATGCTCTTCATATTGAGAAACAAAAAGGAGGGTGGATGCTTAATACAATGGAAAACATTTCATTGAATAAGAGAAGAAGTTAGAACGTATCTTTCTAGGAAGGATCTCTAGAATTTTTAAGAAGTCTCATTTTTCTTAATACTTACCCAGTTTTTGTATATCTTCGATTTTGCCTTGTTTTTTGATCTCATTCCACGGAGCAGTGTTACAGGGAGTGTTTAGTAGGGGTGGTTTTGTTTGTTTTAGTGGTCTCCAGCCTTTTGTCATAGTTTCATTTGGTGGGAGCTTCATAAGTTTATTGAAATGTGGAGGGTACTGGGAAATGGAAGTCATGAACCCTGTCCTTGAAAATCTTACCCTCATAGATATACACACAAAACATGCAAAACACAGATTGAGAAGATACGTAGTGAGTTTCCAATGACTGGTATAGGTAATAATCTGCTCTTGGGTATTGAAGGGGAGAACTGTTGAGTTGATAGAGTATGTTGGATGCTGGATGGATAGGATTTGGGTAGAAGGTACTCAAAGGGGGAGTGAAAGATAACATGAATTGAGGGGTGGAAACATGACTGGCTGGCACATGTTTAGGGGAAGAGAAGATAAAGCTAGAAGGATAGATTGGGGTTAGAGCATGGAGGATTTGATTGTTAGGCTAAGGCATTTAGATGTTTTTCAGAATGTTGTGGCTATTAAGTATTTGTAAATAAGATTACCCCAGGATGAATGAAGGAGGTGAATGTGGTAGTTGTGTGCAGGATGGGTTGTGTGGAGAGAGACTAGAAATGGGGTGAGATTGGACATTTAAAAAAATTACTGTAATAGCCTAGAAATGATTGAAGCTCAAAGTTGGCTCATTTGGATGGGGAAGGAGAATTGATGGAACTTGACTGGCAGAGTTGGGGAGAAGGGACAACTGAAAAATTAGATGACTCTAAGCCTGGGTTATAGGGAAACTGATGAAAACATGGGTGAACCAAGTCAGGTTTGGAAATCACTCGGGAACAATTGGCAACAGATGAGTTTTAGGTTTGTTGTGTTTGAGGGGATAGTGAGACGACCACAAAGACACGATCTGTAGACTATTGGAGATGTGAAACTGAGCTCATAGTTAAAGATAGCATTTGGAAATTATCTGATAGAGGTGCAAGTTGAAACTGATGTAATGATTAAAGGGTGAAACAACAAAGAGGAAGAGTCAAGAAAGTGGGCAGGCAGGCAGGGCCTCTCAGAGTTAGGACCCCCAAGTATCTTAGAGCCCATGACCTTAAAGAACCATAGTCAACAGGCTTATTCCCCCACCCTCATCTTTCTGTTTAGTTTCATAATTATTTATTGTTAGCAGTTAAAATTTTATTATATTAAGCTGAACTTGGTGAAGATTGAATTTTTCTTTGGAGGCAAAATCCTTTCCCCAGGTTCGTAGCTTCTAGCATGAATTTTCTATTTTATGTTTCTTATCAAGCATTCATTCTTTCATTCATTCAACCATTTAGAATGACCGACCAGGCGGCCTCATCTTTTTCAATGAGTCTGTTTTTATTCTTTCCTTTTCGGACTTTGGACATCTGATGTATTGTAGGATCAGTACCCTTTTAAAATTGATTGACTTTATCTATTTTTTGGCTTTTGTTGCTTTCTTTAGCTGGTACTTATTGAGTAGTATGTATTATGTATACACATTATGTATTATGTGCCATGTGAAACACTGAAGTTCTGATATATTTTTGATAATCTCAGGGAAAAAAGTTGTCAAATTATGTTTCCTTGACTAGATCCCTTCTTCAGAAATGAAAGTTCCCACACCTTTTGCTTTTAGGAGAATTTGCTGGGGTCTTTTAAACCACCTCACCCATCATGAAAACAGCTTTTTTTGTTGAGTGTTAGTGGTTATACGATAATGTAACTGGGAGAAGCCTGATGAATGATTTCTTCAACCTTATCTTGAATACATAGTTTAAGAACTAGATAAGCACATTTTTCATGTTGCAAATGCTAGTAGAGTCTGCAGATGCTAAGGTAATATGGTACCCATTCCCTTGTTTCTCAGATCATCCAGATTGCTCAGTAATTTGGTTTTCTGTCAGTCAGATTCTTTTCAGTGTCCTAATGGTCCTCTTACTGTCCATGTAATAGTTTATGATTATCCAAGAGCTGTTTTCCTTTTCCCAACTCTTTTTTAAACTTTAGAATTATTTTATCTAAGGCTTGTTAGCAATTTCTCAAGTTGTTGAATACCTCTGAAAACAGTAAGGGATAGACTTTAATTAATGTTAATTTTTCCAGGGGGAAAAATGTCTATAATTTGTAAATTAAAAAGGAAAAACAAAGCCTGGTGAGTGGGAAGGTTAGGTATATATTTGTCTTGAAGTTTGACATATATTTCTTGAAAATATAGCTATCAGACTGCAGCTTTTTTTTTTTTTAAGTTATTGACCTTTTCCCTCCTAGTTTTATTTAGTCAGTGGAGGTGTAGCAATGAGTTGGTGGCCTGAAGGGAAGGGAACCAATGATAGTTGAACAGTGCATACATACTAAGGACCAACACTGCTGTTCGCTTTGTATGTGTTATTACCATCTTTCATTAGTCAGTATTTCAGAATGTTGAAGGCAAATGTTTCAAGTTTTTGTTTTTGAGTTTTTTCTCTTTAAAGAGACTTTAAAGTCTCTCTTTCTGGGCTTTCTTGACCTACTGATTTCCTGTCTTTTCATTGCTGACTTCTTTTTCTCTCATCATCAATCTTGGGTGCCATAATACTTATCTTCCTCTTCTCCTTTCTTGAAGAGTTCATCCATTCCTATATCTTTGACTGGTATCATCTCATTACTCATGATATCCTGGTCTTCATTTTTCAGTCTTTTTGCTGTTTTGAATCCTAAATACCTGACTGCCTATTTGGCATCTCTATGTGGATGTCATATTATTACTCAAGTTACTAATATTCCAAAAATAAGCTTTGTCCCATGTAACTTACCTGTTAACGCTGCTAATATGTCTGTCACTAAATTGGAACTTTTGTTGTGTACTTTGACAGTCCTAGGTCACATGTTGAATTATTTTAAAAGAGTGTGGCTAGCATTCCAGATTCTAGATTATTGCTGTATAATCCCTCTATGTGTTCTGCCAGTTGAATTGATCACATTTGGGTTTGTATTACTGTTGGAATGAAAAGACTTTGAGGTCATTGAATCTTTTGGCCTTAAAGCTATATGCTTGCCAGTGTTCATAATTTATGAGTTAATGAGTGTTACCAGTATCTGTTGCATATCCAGTTAGTTTTGGTCAGAACGTTTTGATAGTATGTTGCAAGATTAAAAAAAAAAAATTCTTTCATTCAGCAAATCTTTGTGTAGGTTCTAAACCTGGACTCAGATGTAGGCTCTGCCATAGTTCTTACCAGATGATTTTTGGTAAATTATTTTAACCTCTCAGAGCTTATTTCATCTTCAGGAAAGTGGGGGGATAATAGTACTAGATTTGCAGAAGGATTAAATAATATAGATAAACCGATTATCACAACATGTGGCATTTAGTTAGCATTTGTTAATTGGTGACTATTATTTTTGTCATATTTACAGTATTCCTGTTACATGCTAGTTACTGTGCTTATCCTGGAAGTTGATATTTATTGTGTTCTCTTAAGGGTAGAGTAATTTATCTGGCACTTCAAACCGTGCTCATAAATTCACAATCCAGCTCTACTTTATTTGAAGTATCCAAGCCAATTGTTACTGAAAATGGAGACATTCAGATGAGATTCAGTAT